CACTAGACACAGGCCTCCAACTAGACTCTACACCATTCATACACATAGCCAGACCACCACTCTCTGGCTTCTTCCCACCAGCCAGTTAACAGTCCACCTCACTACCTGGTCATCCAGTCCACACTTCCTCCATTTGGCAGCGAGGATGCTGTGGGAGACCGTGTCAAATGCTTTACTGAAGTCAAGGTAGATCACATCCACTGCTCTACCACCATCTAGCCATCTGGCTGTGTCTTCATAAAAGTCTAGAAGGTTGGTCAAGCACGACTTCGCCTTGGTGAAGCCATGTTGACTGCCCCTAATGATGCTCTTATCCTTGATATGCCTTGAGATGGCACCAAGGATAAGTCGTTCCATCACCTTCCCAGGGATGGAGGTGAGGCTGACCGGTCTGTAATCACCATCTCCTTTTACCAAATAAGATTTCTAGTAATTTACTGAGGATCAAGACATTCAAATATAATTCTTGACAATTATTCAGCATACTGCACAGCCCTGCCATGCTCACAGCAGTCTCAGCTGTTCCCTCCTGGGGTCAACAGTGGAGAGGAAGCACAAGTATTCAAATGCCACCAGAGGTACCTTGCTAAACACAACGTATATAGGAGTCAGCCAGTGGCTGCCCTCAATTTCTGTGGATGTTCCATAAACAAAATAACTCTTGCCTTTAAAGTAGTAAATATAAAGAAATGTTTAACTCTGACTCTACACCACTGGGCAGAGGTACATACAGGGAGCTTGTAGCCATTGCTCTCAGACAGGCACTTTGCAAAATCCCAACTACAAGAACGGAGTGCTGCTTGGTACATACCCCTCACTCCTATATTCCACCAACCATCCATACACACATGTTGATTATGTGTTATCTCTGACCCTACTCACACTCTCAGGTTTCCATCAGAAGGAAACCAAGACACACAGTGCAAAGATGCACAACTCAGACCACCTCCTACCACTGGAGGCAGAACACAGTCAGAGCTCACATGGGGCCAGGAGTCTGCACCACAGCGCTTTCTTCCCTCAGAAGTAGGTCACCTTAAATTAACTAAATTCACTCTGCAAAATTACGCATCAGATTTTTGTTTTTTTTCAAGACATCACCAACAGTGTCCTCAAGCCCTAGAGTGTATCTGCTATTTTGGTTTGTTTAAAGGAAACTCTCGTTTCTAAAATTGAAATTCATGTTTCTTTCCTCTCTACCAATAACTATCTACATCTTATAATTGTAACACTTTAATCTAGTTACTACTGACTTGCTTTTAGGGAGGGGGAATTTTTTCACTTGTGAATTAAGAGGGTTCTTAACAAGAACAGAAGCTCATCGTGCAAATAAGAGTTTGGAAACTCAAGTCTCCTAGGATCAATCTTCCTTCACTTCTGGCTTAAGAGCTGCAGAAAACTGAAAGCATAATCCCTGACATTTCACTGTACTTGCAGGAGTAAAATGTTTGCCCTGTGGATATGCCAACACTGTAAGTAACTGGGTAGAAGCTAATCACTCTGCAGGTTTCATCGTAATTTAAAAATACCCAGAGCACCTCACTGGTACATCCACATAGCAGTATAAATTGGTCTGTTTTGTAAATGATTTCATCTACCTGTCTGTCAGCAGAGAGGTGACAAAGAATATTGATAGCATAACTGGGCAGTTATGTAAATAGAACAACTAAACCGACTCCAAATAATCTCTAAGTCTTTTCTCTCTCCACAATAAAATTTATTACTCCTCCCTTCAGTAAACAATCTTTGGCAGCCATGCAATTTTTTGCAGCTGTCACTAGAAAAGTAGTCAAAGAAAAGGGAAGACAATAGATTTTGTAACTTGTCACTCATTCTGTGTAGATTTTTTTTTTTTTTTGATTAGTAAGTTTTTTATGTTCTTCTTTTAAAGCTACTTGTTACACATAAATCTGCTATTTGTTTCTAACATACTGGTTGCAATTTTGTAAATATTTCTCTAATTGACTTTTTATATTTTTATTAGCATAAAAACCCCATAATATTTAAATTTTCCCCACAGCAATAATTAAAAGTTTGCAACCTCTCATAGATATCTTGTCAATACAAATTGCACATAAAATAGTTTTAAAGTGAGTGGCAGTAAGTTTTTTAACTAAGTTAGCCATTTAAGGAAAATGGCTGTAAGTAAATAAAAAGTTATGAAAGCTTCTTACGAAAAAATACTTTTATCCAAGAACTAGACTGCAAAATTAAATAATTCAAATCTTAGTTATAAACTGATTTTAATTAAAGGTAATCTGACTCATTTTAACTATGTATAAATTTAAGTCTGACAACATATTTGTATCCATTTTCTAAAATATCTGTCACTTCTCCACAGTGGCTGATCAAACTCGCCAGTGAAAAACATTTTGAGTAGGCAACTTGTAATACAGCTACGGTTTATTTCTGTCAGATGCTGACTGCTGAAGTGTGAAACTCATTAAAAATCTCTCACTGTGTTCCTGCATTGCAAGGAAAAAAGAAAGAAAATACTTAATGAAGGGTACACTTAGCCTGAAGCCACATTCATATTCTGCTTTTCATTTTACACTATTTCAGTAAGCAATTAAAAGACAGCAATTAGTCACAGAAATGCTATTCATACTGGTCATACTGGGAGATTAAAGAGGTTAGCACTTATTTTATGTTATTATGAAAGTAACGAGGGAGATCAAGAATAATATAGTCAACTAAAAAGGAATGCTAAAATAAATAGAAGAATCTTACCTTAATCTTAAAACAAGGTTCACTGCACATGGAACTTCACTATATTCATCACTAACAGCAGGCTGAGACTATTAAAGATAAAAGCAAAAAGTCTTATAATGGATGCAAAGGCAAAAAAAAAAAAAGTCCCAAAATACTTGCCATGCTAACAGTTTGAAGTTAGCACGGAATATTTTACACATCCTCTCTCAAAAACCTTTTAAACATTTTCAGTAACAGTCCAAAATATAGCTAATACCAGTAAAACTTCCGTATTTCAATTACAGAGATACAAATGATAAGGCCTGCACAAAGCAGTGAGTGTTAAGAGCTTTTAATCCACCTTGCATCAAAGCTCCAACAACCTATTAAATAATATCCACTCAGCGAGAATACTGAGTTACTACTTACATTATTTTTGTGAAACAGTTTTGGTTGTTAAGGAAGTCTTGCATCTACCCATCTGCAAAGAACTAGAAGCTTATCAAAGCAGCCATGACAGCTCAGAGAATGTCTTTCACAGAGGGAAATCAGGAATACTGATATCTTTCACACTATCACTCCTGCTTCACACTATGATACCCTCCCCAGTCCTCAACTAGCATTTATATGAAATCTCAAGAAAAAAATGTATCCTACATGGAGTATTCTCCAGGTCCTCTACCCTATCTTAATTTCATACCCAACTTGGCATATTGTCACCACCCAGAGAAGTCTGTTCAAAGGTTACAGTCAAGTCCTCCCAAAATAAAGACCTGCATCACAAATCTCATTAGCTTGTTTCCCAACAGTTTTCCACATTAAAGCTACTTTAAAAGAGAAAAATCTTGTGTTACACAAGATCAATATTTTATTCTCTATGTATTTTAAACAAAAGTTAATTAATATTTGGAAAATTATTTAATCACTAAAAGGGAAGCATATTTTTTTCTACTTCAATTAAGTTCCTTCCATTCATATAAACTACTACTATTATTTCTGCATCTTCAACAGACCTGTTATTTCAGTGTATAGGAATGTGCAGCCCAAAGACCAACAGGCGCACACCAACAGTGACAAATCATCTTCTGGAGCATTTAGGATAACAAAAGTCAACAGAAGGTTTCAAGTACAGGCTTTTTTCTCCTTCACAAACTAAACAGCTCATAATAGAAGAGTTACCTGTATAAACTGAGTCACAAAGTGCAAAACTCTCAATTTCTAAGATACAAAAAGACTGTCTGTTAAAAGTCTTTTTTTTTTTTCTTCGTATTTAGCTTACTTAAATCACATCAGATGCTGAAGCACTATGTAAACTAGCTCTGCAATGGAAAGACAAGTGTCATCATAGGACCTAACAGGACCAAACCTGGCAGGAAGCTGTTTGTCTTTTAGAAGACTTCTACAACACCAATGAAAACCAGAGAATCTAAAATTGCAGGTGTAGTGGCAAGTGTCACCCACCCAAAGAACCGATATTTTTAAAAGAGCACTTCAGCTGTAAGCCAGTAATCCTATTAAGCAATTCTTTATAGCAGCCATGCTTCCCACACTCTCAGCACAGGGCCATGAAACCCAGTATGGTATTTTATGCCTCAGAATTAATGTACTATACCACAGTACTGAACTATTTTACTGTATAAGGATGAAATATTTTAATTACAAGCTACATGTCATGACACAAATCCTAAGAACGAAAAATTATCTGGAGATCTTCTGGCTACTCTGAAACAACTATCATTACTCTGACAAAAAGACAGCAGTCTCATCTGGTTATGAAGATTAATTAAAAACAACCAAATTACCTATCTTAACCAATTTCCCTGGGCATGAACATAACATGACTTTAAATTTCCTATCCATTTTACCCAGTGTGTGCTCAAGTTAATTGTTACAGGCCCAACTGCATATACAGGTCTACCCTCACAAGTACTTGCCATACAAGGCTGCGGAACAACACCCCCGCCTCAATTCACACTTTGAACAGAAATGAAAAAGAAATCCCTTAACCCAAACACTTGGAAGAAAAAATTTTTTAAAAATCGATAAAGACATTTTTACCTCTGTGTTCTCCTCTTCTTTCACCCTTCGTGACTGGGAAAGAAATGCAGTGAGATATGAGCTATGCAGCTTTATGCATTAAAGATGCAGAAATGCTAACAATTAACATTCAGATAGAATATCTTGCAGAGTGTCTTGACACAAACAAAAGTTACCTTTTCCTGAGAAACAGCAGCTTTGCCTTCCTCGCTCTTCTCATCCATTTCATCATCACTCCATTCCCAGTCCCCATCTTCTGTTTTATGGAGGTGACCACTGGAACCTGGTACTCGTCTGACCTAACAAGATATTAAGTGTTCAACATTACACAGACATCTTTAGTCTTTATCAGCGTTCTGGTTAATCAGGAATTTTTAGTTATTTTTATTCTGTATGCTTTCATTAGTTTGTTGGAGGAGTCACTGGCACACTGGAATAACATCTGACCTCAGGGGTCATCCTTGAGCCAGTGGGAACAGTTAAGCTATGCAAAATTCAGATAGGGAAATAGAGTTTGGATATATTTTACAACTGCTTAGGAACAAGCTCCAGTAGATGACAACTGCTTACTATGAACTAAGCCTGAAACAAAAGGAAGCTATTCAATGAGGCAGAAGTTAGAGAGACAAGTTTGATCTTGGGACACAAGTCTTAAAAACTTCAATAGTTCTGCTAAAAAAACTTTAAAATGTGTAAGGTGTTAAGGGTACTTAAGTAAAATTATCCTTATTAAAAAAGCAGCTGTATGCAGAGTGAGAAGGTAGGCAGGCATGCACCACACCAAACTAATTGGGCAAACTCCTGTAAATCAGACAGGCTAACAGGAGTATCCAGCAGGTAAATCTGAAAATCAAATACTCTTCTGATGCCACTTTGCTCTTTTTCAGCACCTGACAACACACTTGTTTTCCCCGGATCATGTTCAGCGTATTTGAGCAAAACAAAACAACATCCAACGATTCTTCCCACACCCTGGTATACATGTATGAGACCCATGAGATGGCTGAAAGCTCAGCACAATAAGCAGCAGTCCCACTGGTATTTAGATTAGAATAAGTTTCTCTAATTATTTCACATTACTGAACCAATATTCAGTTCCCACTGCACAACTTCAAATGTTTGTACAGGTAAGCAACCCAGCACTACCAATTTGTAAGGCTTAAAGCATATCCTTTGAATTATAAAAAACTGAAAAAAGTAAGAGAATGAAAGGAACAAAGCATTAAGTGTTCACAGCACACAAAAGGGAGAACTAACTTGATAGAAAAGCAGTTTCAGACCAAAAACAATAGCTGAAGAAGACATCTAAAAAAATAACTTTTAAAAAAATTATTAACAAGATGGTCTTAGCTGAAAATTGTATATCCTGTTTGCCATTACGTGCAGTAACATACAACAGCATGGTTCAGCTTCAGTTTCACAGATTGCTGTCTGTGGTGTTTTGATGTCTTGCACTGAAGCATATGGAGCACTGAGTAACTTGGTTCTACGATCCTGATGGTTGGTGGTGGTGAAAAGAAAAAAAAAAAACAAACAAAAAAAACCAAAAACAGATTTCTGACTAGAAAAATTGTTGTTTTTTCAACATAATGAAAGTTAAGTAAAGACTAAACTGGTATTAACCTTGCTCTAAACCCCTCCAGTTGCTGCAAACTAGGATATGTGGAGAGACGCAGCATGTGACAGATTCCAGCTGCTTCTAAATCCTATCAGGTAGTACTTCAGCAAAACACACATGGCATGAAAACAGTATAGGACACTACAACTCTGAGCTCATGAGCTTCTAGAAAACTGTGTGATGCGCATATTAATACAATTTTTCAAAGTGGCTTTTCTTAGAGAGCTGGGCACTCAAGCTACCTCTGAGCACAATTTAGAGCTGGCTGGCCTGAGACCACAACAGCAAAAGTGAGAATGAACTTAGGAACCTTCTTTCAAAACATACACAAGCAGGTATCTTGGTGTCTGTCTGCACTCTTCACCTCTCTTCCTTCTTTCACTCCCCAAACATCCATCCGCTCCTCTCCCTTCTCTTTTGCACAAATAAGACTAAACTAGAGGAAAGGGTGAAGTTTCCAGAACCCCAGCACATTACTTCTTCAGTCCTTACGATACAGTCCTTATGTTTCTTCCCTGCACAACCAAATAAGAGTACCCTACTCAGTTTCGCCATATTTTGTACTTCTTTGAAACTGAGAAGAGGGGAAACCTATGTAGGACACTGAGGGAACATCCTACTCCATCACTTGAGGAATAGATTCTGCTCTGTTTCCCCTGTTCCCCAACCTCCCTGGTTGTACAGTGAGTAGATTCAACCCATCAGCTTGGGACAAAACCTAGTTTTTTCTTTCTTTACCGAACAATTTTTTTTGCAAGATTTGTGGGTTAAATCAGCCCATCTTGAGCTCAAATAGCAAAGACTGTAAGCAAAGAGGCAAAAACAAAAGGGGCAGTGAAAGGGAAGTCAGATCAGCTTGTTTTGGCAGCAGCAATCCCTCAGGATCCTCAAAATCACGTACTCTGAAATGCTTACAACGCAGCATCATGACTGGAGAGCACAATCTGCCACACCAAGTCTCCTCAAGCTTTCACTCATGCTCCTACAGCTGTGCAGATGACCCAACTGAAAAATTAACATGAAACACAGATAGCTTGCAGCCAAATCAGCTTTTAAATTTAGCTGATCATGAGCTAGCACAAGTGCTAGAGCCTGCACAAGAGGAGGAGCTGGAATATAATTTTCAGTAGTTGCCCCAGTCACCTGTGGTAAGAAAGAATTGTAAATTCCCAAAAAGTGATATAGACATAAATATGAACAGGGAGCAAATATAACCAGACACAGCATACATTTGTCTCCACTGTCTTTAATGAGCATGCTACTTTAAGTTCTTTAAACCTGTCACACAACCCTTTGTTATTCCTTCTTGTTTTATTCAGCTCAAATGCTAGGCTTTCAGCATTAGCCTCAGTATTCTTTCTTCCCTTCCTACATGCAAACACTATAAACATATCGTTGGCTTTTCAGTATAAAAACCCCCTTTTCCCTAGTTCTTTGCAGCTTTTTCATAATGAATTAGTTTATGCAATCAACATTAAATATCAGCACACATTTTCCAGGAAGGGGTGAGGGGTGGTGGGGTGTGTGTGTAAAACTATCTGCTTCCAATACCTTTTTTTACATGCTACTTCCTTATATACACACCTCTTTTCTTCATGAAAAAACATGAATGGCATAATGCTGTTGTTTTATGTTCTACAACAGAAACAGCAGCACAGAAAAACATTTTATAGTGTGGAGACACACTTCACTGGTATCAAATATTTAAGTAAAAAGGACAATTTTATGACAGGAAAAAACTAAATTAGTATTTTCTCATATCAACACATTATTTCTACTTTCAGAAGGGATCCATCTGGGATAAGTATTTAAGCATTGTAATGACAACTGTAGAGTTTGGAGACCACAGTAGCACCACATTAGATATGAAGCAGCTGTAGGGGTCAGCATCCATTGCAACATTCACAGAGTTTATTAGACTATGGTCATCTGTAAGAGTGTAAGAACGGTCATAATCAATCCAACCAATAAGCTCCACCAGTTTTTTTGCTTAGAAAGAAAAAGTAAGCCTGGAGGCAACCCTTCAGCACTTTATGTATTCCACCAATTTCTACTAATCCTCCTTTCATATTATGTTTGCTTTACTAGATGAAGACACTTTAAATAACGTTAAAAGTCCTAACTTGTCCATGGGACAAAGACATTTTGTCCCCTAAAGAAACAGATTCTTCTTAAAACACTTGTCTTTGTCCACCTAAAATTTGCCTTTTGTGCTACCTCAAGTCCTAGTTTGCTAGGACGCAACGTATCTTCTGTTCTAACCGCTTTTTTCCCCCATCTCACAAAACACTGCAGAATTAAAGTGAGCACATTTTTATAAAGGTAAGCCAAGTAGCTATACTAAAATCTTCAGAAGATTTTCACTTCATCACAATCAAGTCTTTCCAACCTTTTGGATTACTCTTGAAGTGTTCGTCACACAGTGTGGTAAAGTTTTTTATCTCTTTCGTCCTTACAGGCCTAAAGAAACTTCAACACAGGAAAAACCTTTTTCAGTAAGTACACTCAGGGCCATAATAATAGGCCTGTGAGGAAAAGAAAGGAAAAAAGGAAAAAAGGAATAAAGATAAGCAAACACTGAGTGGCAGCAGTGCCAGAATTGTTTTGTTAGAAATGCATCTTCATCAGGGTGGAAACAAAGACAGTGTTTCTCTAGATGACAATCTCACATACTTTCCTGTTTTGATGGTTTTCTTTCACAAGAACAGTTGTGCAATACACAGAAGTATTTTGCTGAAGAACAGTTATATACATACATGTACAGAACGCCAGGCTGTTAAGCACTCATATTGCACAATACAACAACAGGGATTCATGCCTCAAGTGTCAAGCAATTGTAGCAAAAACATTATGGTACGCCCATCAGAGGGGAGAGAAGGAAACTATCATCCCATTTGCAAGCTGTATTCCCCTATGTTAAAGCTTCGAAATTCTTTCCTTTCACAGTGGGTAGCTTAAGCTACTCTTTGAAATGGTGCACCTTGTTAATGAAAACACCACAATGGGTCAACACAGAAATCACTACATAGAAATGATGAGGAGAGTTCATGGGGACTTGATGGCCTACATAACACTCAACTGTTATCTAAAAAATGAGACAACTACTGATGGAAGGTTATAGAAAGCTGTGTTCACCACTGCACAAAGTATTAATCTTTGTTTTGCCAGTAATCTCAGCTTCACTGGGTCGCTGCAGGAACCTGTGGAAAAACTGAAAGAAGCAGCAGATCTGAAGAGATCACACAAACAAACAGCGATAACATTATAAAGATATTTTCAAACAGCAAAGATATTCCTACCCAAATTCAGAGAGACAATGCAACATGATCAATGTCTCAGAGGGCATCTCAAATACCACTTAAAGAATCTCTTGTATTTCTGATAGAGTCTGACTGCCACCTCTACTCAATAAAAGTGTTTTTCAAAACATATGTTGAAGATACACTTCACAAATTCAGACATTAATTTTTTCTACCCTCAAAATGAAGTGCTAAAGGAAACTAATGTGAACGAACAATGTCGAATGTATGCAAGACAGACCGTTCATTCCAATTTCTAGTATTACTCTCGGAGGGAAAAGAATTACCTGAAGACAAGAAGGAAGGAAGTTCAAACCATGCTTATCTTGAAGATTTAACTTGGGAATGAGTACTGTATAGCTCTCAAAGGACATCATATAAT